TAGTAGAGACGGGGTTTCATCATGTTGACCAGGATGGTCTCGATCTCTTGACCTCGTGATCCACCCGCCTCGGCCTCCCAAAGTGCTGGGATTACAGGCTTGAGCCACCGCACCCGGCCTGCAGAGACTGTTATTAATGGTTAACTGGAAAAGAGCTTACTGTTCCAATCCCTGTTTTCATATTTTGTGATTTACTATATGTTTTATATAACCTTTTCTTCCCATCCTTAGCATGATCTAAACAGCACTATAAGAAATAAATGAGTTTTGGTTATCTAGCATTGTAGGAAAAAGCATCCTTAGAGTCTTCCTGTGTGCATGCTACTATGAAGCAATCAACATGACCAGAATGGGTGGTCTTCCCTTTCATGTTACATTAGTAGACCTAAAAAATGTCATTTTCAGTTCTCCCGCATTGATCTGTCAAAGCTTTTATTTCATGTTAGATGGGCTACTGTTGAGCTACCAGATTGTCTGCATTTTATGTTTAGAGTGCTCTGGTAAGTAGTGCCATCTCAAAATGTTCCAGGGAGATAGGTAGTGTGTGACTTCACTAAAAGTTTCTAAAGTTAGGACTGGTAGTGTTTGTAGTTCAATACGTGACAGAGGACAGACAGCTGAGTAGGAGAGTTAATTTGTAGACTTTCAGCACACTGACAAAGACTTCACAGTGTTCACTGCCTCATGTATGTCTCACACTTAGTTGGCTCTTGGTGTATCTTGATGAATGAATAAATGAAGGAGCAGATGAATGAATGAATGAAGTGTTTGAATGGTGGATTGTAGGATGATGGCTCTGTTTGTTAGATGATCGGTAATATACAATGTCGTTCATTCCTTTAAGATCTAAAGGCCTTCATTTGGTATTTTCTCTTTAATGCGGATGTCACATCCATGTCTACATAGCGATTAGTAACGACTGATGGTTGAGGAGTCCCTGTAGGCCTGAGTGAAGACCTAGTTTTTAACATTTTTGAAATTATTTTGGTAAAGTAATGAGACACCAGAAAGATAGAGAGCCTCTTTAGTTTTTCCCTTTCAAAAAAACCTTATGGACCAAATGAAGACCAAAAAACCTACCGAGGATAATGATGTTCCAAGAAGTGGAACTATTGCAAATAAGATTGTAGGTTTTTAATAATCAAAGCGTACCTGAGAGAAATATTTAGAGATCTGTGATTTTACAATTTTGTCTTATAAACACTATGCCTGCATTCATTTTGGAATGTGCATAGCCAGCTTAAAAATGGAAACATTATTAGTTAGGGAAAAAAGAAAGAAGGGTCTTTTTTTTTTTTTTTTTTTTTTTTTTTTAAATGCAGAGAAGTATTAAATACTCTGCTAGTATTTGAATTTTTATGGCACAGAAAGGAGATGTTAACACAGTCTACTCTGAATATAAGATGTAAAAAATAGTCAAGGCCTCTGTGATTCTGGGTGAAGCAGTCAACAAAATAACTCATTTAGGTATTTTCAACACACTGTGTTGTGATCACTGAGACCTGCAGAAACTAGAGTTTTCCACAGAGGAGCCGTATACAGTAAATTGAACACACCAGACACCCCATGTCCATTTCTCTGTGGCATCTGTGCCACAGGAGGAGGAGCTAGTCACGTGGCAGGTGCTGTGTGAGCAAAGTGAAAAAACTCAAACCCATGATACCTTTTACATCCTTCACCAAAATTGTAATACAAATTTGGGAGAGGACAATCTTCTTTGTTTGGAGTCCTGGTATTATTGTTACTTAATAATGTCCTAATTACCCTGTTATCTTTAGAGCATTTAAATTTAAAGTATTGGTAAATTGGTTCTTCACACATTTTCAAAAGTTCCTTTATAGAATTCTGTGTCTTAGTGAAATGTTCAAAGTAGTGATAGGCTTAGTTTTATCAGAATCATTTAAATAAACTATAGTTTCTAATGTGACTGATAGAATGTGATTGCTGTAAGCCGCAGTCTCAACCTGCTTTTGACATTTAAACATATAAACCTGACTAGATATAACCATTCAGGTGCTAAATATACTTTACATCTACTTCTAACAGCAGAAATGGAAGTATTAAGAGATCTGGCTTCATTGTCATTGAACTGTGAAATATTCAACCTTGTCTGCCCGTGCTTAGTACTGTTGACTTTTTTATTTCTGTTGGAAGATTAAAATTAAATGCTTCACTTTTTTTGTCAGCTTTTGGGAATTAAATTGAAATTTAAGACTAAAATTTTTTACTGAGTGCTTCAATTTCAACAAAGTATTCTTGGAGGATTTTTTTTCCAAGGGCACTGCACAAAGGTTCATTGATCAAATATGATTTATTAAAATTTTTTAAATTTGAGCTCTTTTTGTATATTTATTAAAGTTCACATATTTCATGTTCTATCTAACTCTAGTAGTGGGAGTATTTCACCATGTAAGTACTAAATATGATACCAAAAATCTGGTAACATGCTGTACTGATTTTAAACTGGTTTTTACGATTATGATTTATTTATTTGAAGATGTAGTGGTTAAAAAGTTGGGAAATGGTATACACATTTTATATCTTAAAAGAGTGTTGTTTCTCATTAATGTGGATACTGATTATCTGTTAATATGTTTCAGTTTCAGTTTTATCTATTACTGAGTCTAAGTGTGTAGACTTCGAAATAATCTTATTTTCTCATTTTTGAGTATAGCTTAATCTTATTTCCTTATGAAATAATTTAAAAAATTTTGTTGCTCCTATGCTTTTTGTGTTGAAATATTTGTTCTTGAAGTTAATAAACAAAATGTCAGTCCTTTCAGTTTGTTGAATCATCATAGATTTTTGACTATAAAAATGATCATAAAAGCATAAAAATTATCTACTGTATATTTATAAATTATCTTATGAAAAACACAGAGAATAATTTGCGATAAATGTCAGAAAAAAACCTGAAATATACCATTGTTAACGTAAGTAAATTCAAAGCTGGAGAAATATGAGGAGACAAGGAGATGGCTACAAGAAATGTATGTGATGATAAACATGCTTTTAAAAATATCAGCTGCTCTGTGTGCATTTTTGTGTTTTAAAAATGTTCCCTTTGAAGTGTTGAGTGACTTTAAGATGTATTTTTGTGAATTGTAAGAAAAATATTTAAGATTATTTAGCACATTTCATCTACTTAGTGCTGCGCAGCAGTCTCACATTTGACTTTGAATCTTAGAATTGTTAGTGGAACTTAGGAAGACTCACTGAAACATTAAAGTCTTCAGAGTAAAATAATTATGGAGGCAGGTCTATTCAAGTTACAAATGAATGCAAGTATTCCATTTTGGGTACAGAAATTCTTAATTAGGTTAAAGGTGTGATTTAAGATTTAGTCCTCTTCTCTAAGCTATCAGTGATGTATTCAAAATCAAATCATATTTATGTTAAATTTACTCAGGATCAAAACCATTCAAGTGCAAGATATGCCATTTTGCAACAGCTCAGCTTGGAGATGCCAGAAACCATGTGAAAAGGCACCTTGGGATGAGGGAATACAAGTGTCATGTCTGTGGGTGAGTAAATTGAAGCCATCTCTGCTGCATGAACCAGGAAGCACGTGCAAGATAGCCTTTGTTTCGGAATTCAAAACCAATAGGAGTAAGAGTGGCTAAAATTATGCATGCGTACCCTTCTTTCCATTGTTATGGTAAATTCCTTAAATACAGTTATGACATTCTTCTCCCACTTCTAATCCTGTACTGAAGATGAGCAATTTTATGGGCTACAAGGTCAATTTGAACCTGTAATCTGTAAATTGACTAAATTATAGGATGTTCATTCACATTGCCAGAGAGAACTATAAATTCCATTTAAAGACATAAAAAAATACATAATATAGCTTTAGGAGTGTATATGTATGTTTTTTTTTCTTTTGCTGTACTTCTTTAATTTTTATCACATTAATAGCTCTTTGGATCCATTGGACATATTCTATAAGGAAAACAACAAAAGATTTAATTTCAGATGGCTGGTTACTAATTATTGCAGGGATGATGTTGAAGAAAACTGTTATGCATTTTTGTGTAACTTTATTTCAAAACTTATTTCCTTTCTTAGTTAACAGTTCTTTCTGAAGAATCATATGCAATGTTTAATTGTCATTCAAATGTGTTGCATTTAATAGAAAGTGCTAAGGCACCTTAATGCAAAATTAATTAATTTAGCAGAAATGTTTAAAAGGTTTTAAAAGGCTATGACATCTATGGTATATCATAAGACATTCAGAGGTGGATTTTAATACCCTACTTCTGATTAAAAGTATATTTTAATGTTATTATGCTAGAGAAATTAACTAATAAGTGCATCAGATAAAAATTATTCATGTGAAACCCGAGAAACTTGCAATTCTTATGGCTAATTCACAAAATAACACAGGCTCAATTAAATTATGCAATGTGCACATATTAGGTTTATTTTTTTTTTTAGTAGAAGCTTCTGCTGATTGAGACTACCATGTAAATATGTTTTATGTCAAAAACAAGTTCTGTTATTTGTTGGACAGTGCACTTTATCGCAGGATGCAATTGCGTGTTTTGACCCTTAGGATAGTTTTGCAAGTACCTTGGCAAGCAGTTTTATGAACCATGGTCGGTGATATATTCATTGGCAGAACTGATGGTTCAGTGACTTGCAGCTAAAGTAAATGAAGATGGCCCTAAAGCTCCCTGAAGATCAGCGGGAGAATGAGTTTTGTTACTACTGATTTTAGCTGCAAGGGTGAAGTGCCAAATGGTTCATTTTAGTTGTTTTAGGTCTTGGAAGTTTAAAAGCTATCTCATTTATTGTTTTTACCATACATGTTATAAAAGGCCCTGACTCCAGTGAAAATTTGCTATTAGGTGGCAGTAAGCAGTTTTTCCTCTCATTTCTGAGAAATAAGTAAACAATTTTCACATACTCTGTCAATAGAGATCTAATTCCATTCATTTTTTAATTAGGGCTACTTAAACCCTAGAAAGAGAAGAAGAAAGTTTTTCACAAAACAATTTCAAATGTAGCTGTTATCAAAAAGAATACATAATTGATTGGCATTAGTTGTATGATTTGAGCAGTGCACACCCTGCTTACTAACTGCTTGCCACATACAACTGAAATATTGCATGAGTAGTTCATATATTTGATTCCAGAGATTCAGAATTGTAAATAATTATACATACATTGAGTTTTATACTGCCATCAGAGAAAGCTCTGTGTGTGTGTGCCTATGTAGAACAAGTATTCTAGAGTCCAGAATTGTATTTCTTAGAATTATGACAGCCATTGAATTTCATCAGATTAGGAAATAATAGCTCCCTTTATCTTTTAAATGAAATTTGATTGAAAAGCTACATAGCAATAATTTTAATAGTGATGCTGAAAGTTCTGAATTGCAGTAAACTTAAGAATCCTTATTGATCTATGTAGTTTAAACAAAATGGTAGTGAATTAGGTACCCTTCAATGTTACAGAAAAAGTGTCATAGGTTGATCCATATTTCATGTGTTTCAAAGGGATAGGGCAGTGTGTAGGTTAAAAATTAAAGTGAAAAACAAAAATGTCCAAGTATTGGTAATCAGATTACTGGCACTAGAGAGTATTTGTACATTAACATCACTGACAAAGTCAATTCATTATCATTGATGGCTAAATAATCTCAGAAATGCTCAGTGGACCTATTAGTTCCTGAACATAAGCAGCTCATGCTGCATTTCTTCATTAGCTTTAATTGCTGTAAATTTTACCTTTTACAAAATCATGCTTTAAAAGGTAAAGTGATCTTTCAGGAACATTAACTGTAATTTTGTCACAAACAGAAGGTCCTGCATTCTGTTTTCTTTTCTTTACTAGTTAATATCTTAGTCTTGTCTTTTAGAATTTTCTTAATGAGCTCTTCATTATTTGAGTTATAAGGAGTTATTTTCCAAATAGTCCTGATTGACTAAAAATATAAAAAAATTGGGCAGTCACATTTTTAAAGTGAAATTATTACTCACAGTACTGTACTCTTTTTCTTAGTAACGTCTTGATTTTCTTGAAAAAAAACTATGCTGAAATTGATGGAAACAGCAAACAGTATTGAGCTCAATATTAATGTCTTAGATTATTTGTAACTGACCCCTTTTTCTGATCTTTTTATTAGATGACTTTGGATGCTCATCAACTACACGTTTTGTGTTTCTCACTAACACATAGTTTTAGGGTTGTGTACTAGCAACACCCTTAACAAAAACTGCCTTTTAAACTTTTGTATAACTTCTCTGAACCTAGATCGATTTTCTTTGAATCTTCAGGATCGTTTTTAAGATATCATTCCCCTCTCTTGCCCTGCCCCACTGGCAAATTTAGCTACTGTATACCTTGGGTTTAAGTTAGTCTGACAAAAGAAACTGAATGTATTAGATGTCTAATTTCTATTAGGTAGTTAAGATTAAGAATTCAGACTTTAAGTTTTGTTTACTCAAGGTTTACCTGCTCATGTGGTGGTAAAAATTTCAAAAATGTATTGCTTTGTACTTCATGTTTTTAGCACACGTTATGTATAATTTTACGTAAGAGTCATTTATTTTACTTTCACTTTTGGTGGAGCAGTTTTTTTTTTTTTTTAAAGTAGAGGCTGTCTTATAATGTCACATTGTACTTTGTCGTCCATTGAAATATTCTGAATAGAATAAAATGAAATCATTTAAAGTTTTTTTTTTTTAAAGTAGAGTTTCTTGATTACTAAAAATATCCAAGTGTGATTGAAAGAGGAATTTTGTAGAATGTAGGTATGTTTATATTTAGGCACTTGATGGATAGTTAACTTGAAAATCTGTTATGAGTCTGACATAGGGGTTAGTGGGAGAGAAAGTTAGAAATAACAAAGTATACCTATTTTTTCATAGTTAATACTTTTAATAGCTGTGTTTAAAAATAGGCCAAATGCATATTTTTATTACATCTATGATCTTTATTTTTTTCAGTAGTCAAAAACTTAAAAATCACAATGATTTTAAAAATTATTTTAGGTACCATGTCTTGTTAAATTATTTTAAATTTATTTTATTCTCTATGTATGTATAAAATATTATACCTAGTACTCTAAATAGTATTTATGCATTGCATTGTGGTTTAATAAATAGCTTTGATTAACTTCTATCTCACGTGTTGATTTCTATAGCTTTGTGGATTGTTTATCTTATGCTTATTATCCCCATTTTACTGATGGGAAACTTAATATTCAAAATGTTTTTAGTGATGTACTTAAATTATCCGACTAGTAATGGTAGATCACTTTTCTTCCTTTTAACTGTCCCTTTTCTTTATTTCTCCATTAATTTTTGTAATACCTGTTTTTGTTCCTGACTTAACTTTAATTTGTACTTATTTTCTTTTCCTCTCTAGGTTGTTTTCACTAAGCATGGTGTTAATGTAACTTATCTACTTTCTCCTAGCATCTACTTTTATTTTCTGCTTTTGCCCAGATTTACATTTTTTTAAAATTGCTTGCACAGTGCTTTACTTTCATATTCTGATATTCTCTCTCTCTCTCTCTCTCTCCTCCCCCTTCTCTGTTTTATATTTCCCACTTGTGTTATTTTAAATAATTTTTCCCACTCTCTTTTATTTGTTGATAATTTATTCCATTTACTTGAGGGTTACAAACTGAACATATTTATATAACAGCAAGAGGTAAATGTCTAAAAGTATAAAGATAGTATCATCCCATTAAGATGAAAGGGATATAATTGATCAACTTTGGTTATTGTTTTTGTTTTGCAGTATTAATTTTTTTTCTTAAAGAGTTGTAGAAAACTAGTATTTGGCCTGTGATTTCAACAAACCTGAGAAATGGTAACTAAGTTTGATATGCCATTATTCAGAAGTATAGACCTGAGTGTGCGTGATATAGAAGTTGCATTGTTTGCTGATTGATTTCCCTGAGTCTCATCTTGATTCTTGTGTGTGGAGTTAAATAGTTGAATAGAATTTAATCAGGAGAGAATAAGAGCTTTTTCTAAATCTGTCACATCTGGTTTCATGAAAAGATTCCAGACATTTTAAAATTGTATATTAATGTGCTTATGAACTGTTTATTCTAGTTGGTTTAAGAAACCTTAAATAGAAAGTTACTAATGCAGTAAAACTCTCTCTCTCTCTCTCTCTCTCTCTGTGTGTGTGTGTGTGTGTGTGTGTGTGTGTGTGTGGCATTACCTACTTTTTGTGCATTAGAAGGGATCTCTATGTAGATGATTATAATGTCACTTTCTGACCTTTGCAGCTTGAATAATTGTAAATCATTGCTTCATAACGTGTCAGAGAATGTCTGTACTAGGCAATTAAATGGCAGAATATAATAGACCAAATTATTGCCTGTCATGTTTTCAACAACACAGTTAGTGTTTGAGTTACACTTAATCATTACGTGCATTAGCAACTTTGTTGGGATCCAGCTTCAGGCTGAGCATGAAATGCATTACATTATTTAAACCTCTAATGGTACAAGTCATTTATTTGTGTTGAAGTGTACAACATGCAGAGTTTCATAAAGCAA